CCAGTTTATAGAAAAAGTCTTAGAGACAGATAATGCTGAAGTATTTAGTATTCATTATGGTAGCATCAAGGGGCCAATGCCCATTGTGCTAGGCACTATGCAAACATAACAAAGACACTGTCTGCCCCCTAAAAGAGCTGTGCACCAGGATACTAGCAGCAGAGAAATACCAAAAGAATGCCAAACCATTACCTTCATTTGCAAGTGAGAGGAGATGTTCTGTTCCAAACAAAAAGTGGCTGGCAACCTGCTAATGCAACAGTTAGGGTGACCAGATGCTAAGTGGAAAATATCGGGACCGCCGCAGGGGGGCGCCTTTTTAATTGTTACACTCACCCGTCCGGGTCTTCAGCGGCATTTCGGCAGAGGGTCCTTCAGTCGCCGATGGTCTTTGGCAGCATTTCAGCGGCGAGTAATAAACCTTGCTGCCAAAGACAGAAGCACCCGCCTTCGAAATGCTGCCCAAGACCGTCAGCGACTGAAGGACCCTCCACCGAATTGCTGCCGAAGACCCGGATGGGTGAGACGTAAAAAAAAAAAAAATGCCCGAAACAAAATATCAGGACAAATGGCGTCCCGACCGTACTTCAGTCGGGATGTGGGTCAAACTCCTCAAAATCACCCTAGTAACAGTAGACAAACACCCTAGTAACAGTCCACACCAAGGATATGTGTAATAAACATGGCAGCGGGTCATTCCTAGAGAGGAACATGATGTTTAAATGCAGCTAAGGAGACCAGCTCTCGAGGACCTCCAGAAGGCTACAGATTGTACTTCTATGCTGACAATGAAAAGCACCAGGAACAGGAGAAACAGGCACACCAAGTGTCAGATGCACCTCTGTGGGCGAAGAGGCCACTGAAGAAAGAACTGGCTTGAGAACACTAAGTGGCCATGTGATCAGAAACCCATTGAGGTTTAGAAATAATTATTGACTGATGTCCAGTAAGAGGCAGAATAATTCCCTCATCTGCCAAGGGCTTCAGGTTGTCTGCCTTGACCTTAGTCCTAAAACATGTGATTTGTGCTTTTGTTTTGTATTCATCTGTGATTGGAGTTTTTTTGGTGGATAATTCTCTACTTGCATTTCGTTAATAAAAAAAAATTAGATTAATCACTGGAGTTTCCCATCATTGTAGGAAATAACGTTACTACAACCTGCTGCAGCAGCTAAAAATAGACAACTCCCACCTGTTTATGCTCTCTGTATGTGTGTATATATATCTCCTCAATATTTATTCCACTCTATATGCATCCGAAGAAGTGGGCTGTAGTCCATGAAAGCTTATGCTCTAATAAATTTGTTAGTCTCTAAGGTGCCACAAGTACTCCTGTTCTTTTTGCAGATACAGACTAACATGGCTGCTACTCTGAAAACAATAAGAGTGTTTTCTCCAAGCAAGGTTTTCTCCCCAGTGCTGGATCCTTGAGATTTAGGATGCAAAAATCTGTGTGTGCTTCAACCCTGACCCTAACAATTGACCATGGAGCCCTGCCTCCCTAGAGGCTCCTCCCCCTCTGACTACCAGGTGGTTGCTGTTCGTTTCCTGACTTATTCCTGAGTGCCTGCAGCCCTGCTGTCATTACTCCACCCTTGTAAACCCGGGGAAGTTCTATGTCAGAACTTCAACTTTCTGCTTGCGGGTATTCAGGTAAGACCTGCTGCATGTCCTCATTTGTGAGGACCCAAAATCTATTACACTGTGGAATGTAATCTCACAAGTTGAGGGTTGAAAGCCTTATTGCTCGGGATACAAATGTAGCCAGGACAGAGTATTGGAAAACTTCCTGGAGGGAGCAGCCCTGTACTGCTGAGCAGGAGAGATTAGGAGATAGATTTAGCCAAATTAATCAGTTGAGCTTGTATGACAGCTGCAATCTTGACTGACACAAAGGATTGAGCCAGGGACCACCAGAGCTAAAACCATGAGCTGCTATTGGAGCCATGCTCCCTAGCTGAGAGCTGTAACAGACTCTTATCCTCTGGGCACCATGGGTGGCAGGTGAACCTCCTTTTGGGGGAGGCTAGCCCCCAAACCCCACCCCTTCTGCCCAAGCACCCCCCCCCAGCCGCTGGAGCCCCCAGCCGGAGGAGCCCTGAACCCCCCCCTCCCTGCGGCTGGAGGAGCCCCAGCCAGCCCACCCCAGCCATGCTGGCTGGTTGGCTGGAGCTCCCCAGCCACCCCAGGCCCCTGGCCTGACCCCACTCCAGCTGCCGTGGGCCTCCAGCCCGAGCCGCCACTGGCCCAAGACCTGAGCTGAGACCCCACCGGCTTCGGGGGAGAGGAGGAGCAAGGGCACGGCCTTGGGACAGGGCACGGGCATAGCCACAGGCCTGGGATAGGGAAGCTTAGCCTCCCCTGGCCTTTGATACCAAATGCCCATGTTGGGCACAGAGGGTGACCATGACACACTGGTCAGTGTGTTATGCTTGCATTGTAGCAGGTACTTCAAATATTCTCCTAGCCCTGATGAGTAGCAGATGAGTAGCAGACTGACGCCCATGTTCACAGCCCTCCTCTCACGTACCACCCTCTGCTCACACTTTTCAGTAATGGAACGGTTCTTTCCTCAGACAACAAAACTTTCTCTGGAGAGAGCCAAATAAACACCCTTTCTACGAGGGACAGCTCTAGGTTTTTTGCCGTCCCAAGCAAAAACAATTTTGGCTGCCTCCCACCCCAGCCCTGGGCTCTTCCCCCCTGCCCACCGCCAGTACCCTCCCCCACCCGCACACCCTGCCGCCCCAGCCCTGGGCTCTCTTTTCCCCCCCGACCCGCACCTCCTGCTGCCCCAGCCCTGGGCTCCCCCTCCCCCAGATGTGACCTCCTCGTTCACCACAACAATCCCCGTTTACACTTGCAGTGGGGATCAAACCGTTTCTCCTATTTTCATTTCACTTTAGTATAAATCTCGCGCCCCCCCCCGACCCCAGCAACCCCATCTTTAGTGCTCCAAATGCACATGGAAGGCATAGGGACTAACTCTTGTACCCGGAAACGGATGGGGATCTAGTAAAGAGGGTTCAGGCTGAGGACCGGGTGTGGGGGTGCTTGGGGGCTCTACACTGGCAGAGAAGTGTGATGTACTCGCGGAGGAGGGTGGAGGAGGAGAGGGGGGTATCAGGAGGGTTGCGGGAGGA